ATATATATATATATATATATCCGCGGGTTATCTTCAGGGTTAAGACCGGGTTAACTGTAACTGTGCTTCGTGTGATCGAAAAAAAATGCAAACTTAATCGTGTCTACGTAAACAAGCTTACAAGACCTATTATACCGAACACGCGGCATTGAACGATTAAACTGTCTATTCTTTTGGTTTTTCGTCTAAAAAATCGAACATTTAAAGAGTGAAAATTGAGGGTCGTTGCATTTCATTGTCTGCGAACTGTATAATTTTTCAACATTGTACGAGTGTTCATTAGATCGATTCTTTGTAAATTTTTATTTTACGTATTTTACTTGATTTGTCGCTACTGTTTTCTTACACGAAAAAGTTTTCTTTTATTACCAAGATTTTCGGTTTTTTTTTTATTTTATTCCATATTTTTTTCACTGCCGTTTTCTCGCACACGTTGAGTATTCTACTTTAATTCCGTTTTAAAAATAACATGTGTCAAAGGTTAAGAATAGCGATACTTTATAAAAAGGTCGTGTACGTTGATGAATTAACGACGTTGACGGCAACAACAATATTCACATACATGGGACGGCATGTAACGCTACTGTGTCGTAAGAGATGGCTTACAGTTGATAACGCTTTATGGTTTGAGAATTAGCGCCGGTTTTTTTTACCTCGAGACGCGTCTTGTCAGTTGTTGAGCAAAAAGATATTCGTCAACAGGAAAATTTTGAAATTTACGAAACTTCGGAAATTCCAAGGCAATCAAGATCGTTGTCTTTTAAATTACTCTGTAGATCGCGACGCGATTTTTTCGTTCAAGATGTTTGTGGTGGATCTATCAGTTGCGAGGTAACGCGTTTCCATGCGTTCGTTCTAAAAGCGTGAAAAATCATCGCGGCAAAGTGCGACGCGCGGAAAAAGACGTCGATTGGCAGTCACGAGCCACCGGTTACATAAGCGCGTTCTCGTGATTACAGCGAGCCTTCTGCCTCGTGCTGAAGGAGAAAGAGAGAGAGAGAGAGAGACGTGATCGTTTCGCGACAGTCGAATGGATAGAAGGAGAGAGAAAAAGAGAGATAGAGTGCACGAGGGCAACGACGCGCCGTCGTCAGAGAGCACGAAAGTCCGAATGGATGCTGAATGATCCGGGACGGCGAGAGTGATGAGATAGTAATGTGCGTGCAGCGCATGGTGCGTGTCGTGCGGTCGGTTTACGCGTGCATCTGCAACTGAGAGGCAGTAGGAGGAAGGTACGAAATCATTTGAAAGTGATAGGAAACTTTTCCGTCTCCAATCGTAGAAATATAATATAAATATTTACAATCGAATAGTACATCGATTGTAAATATTTATATTATATTTCTACGATTGGAGCTGGAAAATTTTTGAAAAGTGATATAAGTCGAATGGAAAATTCCAAATATTCTTCGAAATTCTGTAATGTAATAATCCATATTTAAAAAAAAATTACTATAATTTTGCGACAATTTGTAGACTTCTACTTATTTAAAATTTATTTTGAAAAATGATTTTTTCAAACATTCCAAATAGAATTCTTGTTTTTTAATTTCTATTTTTCTGTTTTTCTCTTGAGTGTAAATATATTCGTGTACTTCACACAAATCAAAATATTTTAGATAAAGAATTAGTGTTAAACAAAGTATAATAGCTGCAGGCTATTTTTATTGATAATAGAAAAGATATCTTTGAATAACTTCTGGAATAAATTTCTGAAAGAAATCAAAATTATTTGTTATTTTAAATTATAGCTATAACTAATGTTATAATTGTAATTTGAAATAATAAATATTATTGTGGCTCATTGATATTGTTAAAATCTGTAATTATTACATTTATTATTAAGTGGTATGGAAATCTTTAATTTTTGTTTATTAAGATAAAAAATTATTAATCAAAAATTCTATTATTAAATTACCGGAAGGTGATAATAATTATTAATAATAAAAGGATAACTGTTAAATTCTTGGAAATCCATTGAAATAAACACATTCTGCTATTACGTCTGTTTATATTATCATTAGGGAAACAATCGTTAAATTATAATGAGTATTTGAACGTTATGGGGATCAGTTTTTTCGTTCGTCACCTCCGAAAGATTTTTCGCAGGCTAATCGCTGCGCTCGTTTTAAACTTCCGGAGTTATGTTTGCCTAATTGACGGCTGCCTGTATATCCCCAGATGTCGGACAGTAGCGAATGATTTCGTGAATGTACACGTGCTTACGTATGGAACATTTCGTGATAGACTGTATAACAGCAAATTTCGTGCATGCGTGATTTCACGATTGATAAATATCGAGTACGTCTGCGTATCGCGTGCTGTATGTCGTAACACGGTATCGTACGACTGTCACTCGTTTGATAAGAACATCAACCATGCACGTTGATCGTTGAAGAGAATTCTTCAAGTTTAAGAGAATTTAATGGATTACGTACATTTCCATGCATCGAATAACAACTATAGGAATAATGAGATGAACATTCCTCAACCTGTACCTATATTGTCATTGAACATCTTAATTTCCATGAAGAAGAAGAAAAGAACTTGTTTTCTAAAATTCATCGTATAATTATTTAAAAAAAGTTAATAAGTAAATTATCAAGGAATTTAAAAATCCGATTAAAATTAGATTAAAATCCTCAAGTTAAGCTTCGCGATATCGGTAACATCTTATTATTTCTTCTTGGCGTCCGTTGATCCTTTTCGATCTTCCTAGCCAAGTTTTGGATTAACGAGTCCCAGGATACATGGACACGTTATCCACGTCGGCGGTTCGTGATTTTGCTTACAGTGGGATCGAGCACGAAGATGAGGTATACAGCGTGCGCCAACTGGCCGCGCGTGACAACGACGCCAATTTGGTGAAGATAGAGAAACCGTTGCCGGTCTTGGTGCCAACCGGTAGTAGTGCTGTATCGACGACGGATTCGAGTCAGGTATCGCTGAACGACGAGGAGAAGATTCCCGTGGAGGAATCAACCGTCGACGACGAGTCCAGGAGCGACGATCGACCGTTCGCCGTCACCGCGTCGATCTTCCATTCAATCGACGAAAAGAGCGACTGCAAAGCCGATTCGCGGAAGGACGGTGCCTTGCCGAAACACGCCCAGAAAGAAAAGGCATTCGTTTTCCTCGAGAAGGCTCTCAAAGAGTCTCTGGAGGAGTCGATTAAGGAGAACGACGTGCCGGCAACGGTGAACCGACAGTCCTTCGCTAAGAAAACGCCTTTTATATTCCAGGTATGGTTGATCCTTCCGATGTACGAGCGGTTTGATTTTGAAATTTTGAAGATCTCTGCTAAGAAGCATGAAATTAGAAAAAAATTACTAGAGATTTTATTTCTATAGTTGCAAGTTTAATTAGTGTAACTGTTATTATTCTATTATATAATAATCGTTATTTTTAGTAAGATATTTGAAATAATATGAATGATTTCCAAATCTTTCTCATCTCTAATTATCGTTTATTGAAAATGTTTGTCGGGCCAGTATCACTTATATATCACAATACGTTAATCCCATATTGCTTATACATTTCGTTATCATCTTAGGATGATAAAGTAAAAATAAATGATATTTTTATCTCTCTTTCTCCTTTGAAGGAGATATCTCATATTTTGAAAATGATTAACATTAAACGATTAACGTAATGGAAATATCTCATACTTGTATGGGTCTTTATAGAAAAATTACAAATTCAGAGGATATGATTAAATTTCTAAAAGTCTTAATTAAATCTTTTACGCCTTTCTTGTACACTCATCTTGTAGTACATTTCATAAATTTTATGTAAGAAGTACAAAAGTTTTTAGTAGTGTGAAAATAATTAAAGTAAACATTAATAAGCAATGATATTTAATCAAAATTTTTCAAAAACGGATATTTTTATGTAAGAATTTAGATTATAATTTCCATGTTATCTGTCAATTATTGTAATCCAAATCCCAGTTGAAAGTATAATACTACTTGATTTTTATAGCAAGTGCTGAGTGTAGCAAGCTTTATGCTAACTGTTCTTTTATATCGAGCCATAATCTTTGGCCTCTTCCCCTCTAGATCGGTCATGCGATCTTTGTTTCAGGGTAAACCGACGGTGGTGAACGATTCATCAGACAGTGCTAAACACCGTGATCGTCCACAGTCAGTCACAAGACATCTATTCGCACCGCTCGCGACTGCCGTGCAACAACAGGAACAACAGCAACAACAGGAACAGTCACAATTATCCTGTCGTCCGCAAACGGCCACAGCGAGCATTTTCGCGCCTCGTACCGAGGATATGAATAAAGGCTTTTTGACTTTCAGCGAGGATCAGCCGGGTCTCACCAGTGCGTATTTTTCTCTGCGAAAAAGAAAAGTCGAGTCTTTTCCAAAGCGAAGGCCAGAAAGGAGTCGCTGACCCTCATCCGTATTGTCGACTTTTCGCGAGAAAAAAAGGATTCGAGGGAAAAAGATAAGAAAAGATATTATGACATACGAGTTGAGAATTATTTATCTTTCTCTAACAGAGCATATTTTCATGACCCGCAGAAATTTTGTCTGAAGAAAGATATATGTAAGAAATAAATAATAATTATTATGTGATTTTTCTATTTTTTCATTTTCAATCCAATTATATCAGATTTAATTTGGTGACTCAGAATAAAAGTTAAGACTCAAATGATTTTCTTAATGAAACTATTGATTTGGGATTCCTTTTTTTGTATCGAGGTTTTCAATTTTTCTCGCGATTTATGTGAACATTTCGTTTTTTACGAAATCTCCTCTCTGGTCGATGTTTAATCATCTGAAGTCATAAATAATCAATTAGAAAGAAGATCATCATAATAAATCATGTTTTTTCCGTTTCGTAGTGTTGAAAGACGAGCCGGAGGACTTGACACATCTCGCACCTACGGCCGGTGACGTGTGCGTACCTTTGGAGGACACTCCCTTCTTATCAGATATGTTGGATGAGTTTATCTTCGGTAACGATAACTATGGCTGTCCTCTATTGAGTCCGGGAGACACTCTGACACCGGAGTTACGTTCCGCAGATCTCTCGGGATCCCTCAAAGACGCAGATCTCATGGACACTACTAGAGCCAAGAATGCGGTCGATCGTTTAGCTGATAGTGATCCCTTCATGTACGGTGACTCGCCCGGAAGTCCCTGTGGCATCGATCCGAGCACTGTGTCACCGTCCCTCTCGAAGTACCGACAAGTAAGCGACAAAAAATTTACACTTCAAAATTTTCTTTTCTCAAAAATATAATATTAACGCACGTATCGACATGTGTATTAATATAATTATCGTTTTAGAGTCCTGAGCGCAGCGTGGACTCATTAGGTAGTCCTACAGGAGGTAGCGGCGGCGGGGGGGGCTCCAAAAACGAGGATGAGATGCTTATGTTAGGTATCAGCGATAGTATAGCAGATGAAGAATTAGCGCTCAGAGCACCCTATATTCCGATGTCGGACCAGGACGAGGCGTTAGAGTTCCTCATTAATGATAACATGGTAATGTGGAGCTCGTCGCAATCTGCTGACAAAGGATCCTCGAAATGGTGAGTGCCTCATTGGATCTAATCAATATTGACAATATAAAAATTTGCGCTATAATAATAATTACAAACCATAACTATAAAATCAATAATTATACAAAATTAAAATATAGTAAAAGCGTGAAAAATAAAAATATATTATAGTAATATTTTTTTTCTATGCATTTCTTTGTCCTCTGTTTTTATTTTACTACTTATTTTCTGGTAGGTTACTCGACGATCGAGAGCAACGTAATTCCGAATCCAGTCTGGCACAGTTACTACGAACTGATCAAGCAGTATCGCGGCGATACAATGATCACGGTGGAGGTTTGCTAAATTCGACGCAGATATTGGGACAAACACCTAGAAAAAGTAAGCGTCTGTTTTTTCTTCTCATCCATATTTACTATACTAATTTTATTTTTTTTATATTTGCAAATATTATGTTGTGATAATGTATTATTAACTTCAACAATTTAATATAAATGTACAATAATAAATTAATCTTGCAGACATGCTTTTCGAATCCGATCGATGGTCCTCTCATCAGGAACGTCCCAATAAACGCATTCACTCCGAACTTAATACGGACTCTGAAAACGAATATAAGCGTCTTAAGTGCGAGCACTCGTCATTTGAGCGTATAAATCTTGAAGATACTTTGGTGACGAAGCAACAGCGGCAGTCGACAACGCTTCATAAGAAGTCGCCGCCGACTCTCGGTAACACCTGTGGCAGCCAGCTTCTGCGTCGCCTCGTTTCGTCACAGATACCAAGTATCGTGTCACAGGTGGCAACTTTGCCTGACAGTAACGGCCATATTCGCAGTGACAACGAACGTCATCGCGAGGACTTTTCGAAGCAGCGTGATAGCGACCTCGACGATATCATCGATTTTGTTGAATCGGAAGGCGACCGCGGTGGGGGAGGAGGCGGAGGCGAAAATCACGGCGGTATCGGTGATGGCCTAGACAAGATTGATGCAACAAGTCGGAGAAGGAATCCTTCCTGCGGCACTGGTGGCAGCAGTGTGCTAATGAATCTCCTGGTTTCCGGCTGCGACGTGAGTGCAGGATATGTTTGCTTCGTGAAGCCAACGATGAAGAGCATCGGGAACTCGTGAGGACGCTTCCGGGAGGAAGCAAGCGTCCGAAGACCTGCCTCCTTTTGGCCGCCGTCTTGTCGTTGTTGATTTTTCTAAAACAGAAATTTGCATGCAACACGAAAGTTCATCGATTATCACACGGTTGATTTTCGCCAGATTGAGATTATAGATGGAGAGGATGAGCTAAAGGAGGCGGTGTAAATGCTAGTTTCTGTGGTATTCGATCGCGATTTCAAGCCGATAGAAGTTCTTCCTACTTTTTATACGTCCGCTTGTTCCTCGAGTTTGCATCCGCAAGCTCGAAGATCGCGTCTGAGGTTTCAAAATAGAAAAAGGGAGAGTGTAAAGTTGCGTCTTCACAGAAAGAGATGCAAAATGAGTTTGTTGCGAATTGCGAATCGAAGAGAAGGAGTCATAGATAAGCGAGATAGTTTCGCTTAATCGTTTAATCCAGAAATGCACTGCGTGCAATGTTTATTTTACAATATAAAAGATATAGTATAGTTTATAGATGACTAATGCTTTTGCTCATATTGAACATAATGAGGAAGGAAAAAAGAGATCTACGAGTTTTATTATAACATTTCTAGAATTGTATGCGTGATTAGATAATTATATAAGCAGCATTGCTTTGGAGTGCATCCTAGGATTAAACGAGCTATACTTTAGAGTCATGTTATGTACACAAATTGCAAAGTATATGGAATTGTTGATTGAATGTTATGGAAATACATGGAACATCGAATCACCTGATCAGCTGCGTTTCGTTTCCTCCCACTTTCGTCCTTTTCCGTCCACTGCCGTTCTACGATTCACAATTTTATCATCAAATCTGTCGCCAAGACTCATCTTCGGATAGACGTTCAATATAATAAATTAAATAATATAATAATTAAAATGATTTTATTTTATCAAACTATATTATTAGCAATTGAAAACGTAAAATTCGAATTTCTTTTATAAAAAAAATTAATATATTGTTAAATACAAAAAAATGGTATAAATTATTTTATATATTTTCATTATTTTTGGAAATTTATCTAAGTTTTAGATAGTAATTTTAATAAACTTTTTAATTTGTGCACATATATATTAATTATTTGGTTTCAAATTACAAAGTAATGTTAAAATAAATTTAAAAAATGTAAACCTAGACAGATGTCAATTATTGGATAATAATGGATTATATCGGATACATGGTCGGTCATCAAATTCTTTAGTTACCTGATAAGAATTATGATCACGAGATGGTTATCGTCTTTACGATCTGCACAAGGCTTACCTTCGTCTAGATCATGCGACACGATAGTCACAGTCGCTTTGCTCAGTAATCGTTCATTTACATTTATGAAACGTTTCTGGAGTCACGCGAACGACGAGGAATGGGGCTCTTGAAGAACATCGAGGGCATTAAAAAGCGGTTTATCGCTTAACGTGTCACTTATCAGCATAATCTTCTCTCTACTCTATCCTTTTGTCTTTTCTGTGAAACGCAGCAATAATTTATTTGTTTTCAGTTTTTCAAGCCAATAAAAACAAATTCATTTGTCAGGTAGTTAAACTCTTACTTAAAAATTGGAAAATATAAAAATTGTAGATATTTATATATGATGATAAAAACCAATAGAAAATTATTGAATTTTTTATTTAAATAGGATTATATATATATATATATATCATTGTAACAATTCTATATACTTTGCCATTTTGAATACTTAAAATGAGAAATCTTCGTAATAATCAAATTTTAAATTAGATATCTCTTCAAATAAATTAAAAATTTAATTTATGCTTAATTGTTAAAATTCGTCGACTCGTTCTCATATTTTTTTAACGTATTTTACGTATCTCACATAAAAGTAACAAATCAAATGATAGTGATTTTATTTTTTAGGATCCTTTGATGAGTTCTCGTGATATGTCAACTGTATTATCGAGTAACCTGACTCCGTTATCCATCAATGTGGACAATCAGATAGTTCCACACTGTGCGAACACAGGTGTCATATCTTTGCCTGATCATCTTAGCCCGGACACCAGGAAGCATTTAATTGGGCCCTTTACCGTCAGTGAAGGGGACGGAGGTACTCCTATAGTCTCACCCACGACGTCCGCGATGGCATCTTTCGACAGCTTTGATTGGATCCGCGATGGATCCACGAGCCTGCTTCAAGTGGGATCAGATCTACTCGGGGGACTGCTGGATCGAAATCTAGTGTGATCCAGCGCGATGCGATTTATACAGACCTGCCAAAAAATCGATTAGGGAAATTAGAAGCAGGATTTGTTCAATATTCGCTTTTCCGTAACAAGTCTTAGAAATTGTTTTTTCACTCTTTTTTGTAACACGATCCGAGTTGTTGCTTATTGTAATCAAATTATAATTAAACTATTAATTTTAATGTGTTCTTTTAACGTCACTCGATTTCAGAGTCTGTGCAATATACTAAATAAAGAGCGGAAAAAAAATTACAGTGCAATCAAAACGTTACGCACAAAGAGATTTTATACGAATCTTGCTTCTAATTTCTGCGTGTAAATAGTCGGTTAATTCCCGGTGCTCTTTAATAATTCGCTAAGCATCCGAAAATCTCAGAAATGAGATAAATGCAGTTTATATTAAATGTTCAAAAGAACGTTCGATTAATGTAAAAGTGATGCGACTCGAGAAGATATAAATCCAGATTAATTGATATTTTTTATTGATATTTAATCTTTTTACGATGATTTCTTTAAATACTTTAAGTAGCAATCGATTCACGCCACTTCAACGTTCAATCGATACTTTTTTATACAGTTTTTTGAAATTTGTGTGTGAACGTTTGTGACAGCTAAATGTGTCAACACGTTTCCACGAATTAACAAAAAAAAAATTATAATCTGTACAATGACGAGCTGCGTAGCGAATTAAGTTTCACAGGATGATGCCGTGTTGTAAAAATGCGAGTCATATCTTTCAATCAAATCGGTCAAAGGCTATAACCGTTTTTATGACGAAAAGAAGACATTTCTTTAAATTCTTAAAAATTTTGTGCATCAATATACAGATTTTATTAAAAAAATTTCTTTTTGTAAGTTTGATTTAATGTTTTAGAAAATTATTTTCTACTACGGGTGAAATTTAATTCTAGTTCGATTACTTTGCTTTTGCAAAATAATTTTGATTCGATGCGATAGAATTTAGAATGTAAGCATAATAAAACATGCATAATTATCAAGGAAAATGGGATACTAGATAAGATGTTATCTAATAATAATAATAAGCATCGAACTTTAATGTACTCAAAAATTTTTAGGCATTCAGGATAAAACAGTTTCGACTTAAAAAGAAAAAATGAATTATTTGAATATTTTTAATGGAAAATAAAATGTTAGCCTTTTGACAGCTCGATCTACTTTTCTCAAAAGTTGTATATAAACGAGTGCATTTATAAAAGCGATGAAATCGAATTTCAAAAAGTAATGAGTAACTATTTCATCATTTTGAAATTCAAGAAAGTTAAACATCATTAAAACATAAAAGAGTAGAGAACTTCTTTCTCACTTTTCAAAAATGAATATTAGTTTTATTTTTAAAAATATAATGTGTGTCAAAAGCAAAGAACAAAGTATTTCTGCGACGTCTCTTTTTATACTTCACGTAATTTAATTCTAACATTCCTCCAAACTATGTTTTGTATGTCTCCGGAATGAAACAGACGGAACAATAAGAACGTCGATTATCCGATTTCTTATTCTGATTGTTAAAATTAATAGAACGTGACAAGTTGCTGCGTTTATTATTGCATATCAAATTAGGAGATCGTAACGACATTTTTTTCATGTGGCTGATTATCGTCGTCTTTACTAATTGTTATTATTATTACTAGGTTTCAACCATAATTCATTTGTTGCTGCTGCACCATGATTATTTGTTGCATACGAATAATTTCTTATGATTAGCAGTATATTTGGCAGTACAATTATTACTGCAGTTACTACTGTCATTTAAATTGAGACATATACGTTTTTCTATTATAATTTTATTATTTTAATACATTATATTATTACAGGTCTAATTATATTATAATAGTATTGAATTAATAGGTAATTGACGGTATGATGTGCATACGATATGAATATAAAAAAAAAGATAATCAATATTTAGAAATAAATATTTCCAAAAAAAGAGTAACATATTTTTTTATTTTTTACTAATTATAATATCATAAATTTTAAAATGAAGGTTCTGTGTTTATAATTACATTAATTTAAATAAAGCTCTCTTAGAACTTTTGGACTGTATCTTTACGAAACTTATATTCTCTTAATATCTTATTGATTTTTGAAACTTGAAATTAATATTGGGCTTTCCATTTAGTGACGACAAGTCAATACGAACATCATTCTATCTTTCTTGGCATTCAGAATTTATTATTCAATTAGCGGCTCCCCCTGAAAGTACTGGAGACAATACGGCTCTTGGCATTCAGAGAGTAATAAGAAGATAAGGATGAATGCTTTCCAACAAGAAACACATATACGGTGTGACATGGTGTATCATTATATTCTTGTTGTTCGTCAGTGTTAAACGAGGATGAGATGATTACTGTGTTGTACTGAGTCGCTTGTTAGAAGACACCCTAATATCAATTGCGCACAAGTCAATCACAGCATGCTAGAAAAAAAATAAAAAAACTCGCTACGTCGCTGTGATTGGCAGTGGGCAGGGGGCACACAAAAAACTTAAGGCAGTAAGAGTAACTAAAAGTATAGCTGAAGTGATATAATTTTAAGGGAATTAAAATAATAATGCATATACTTTTCAAAATTAAAAAAAAAATTAATAAAACACTTTAATAAAACCTACATTTGATACTTGTCTTGTGAATATATAAGTGAATATATACTCTTCCGTATTTCTCTTTATCACCTATTTATTAAATAAAACGAAAGTTTTAAGAATTTTGCCTTCCGAGCTTATATTACATACAGATATCTCGATTTCCTGAGGACATATGCCACTTCAGTTTTGGCAAACTGTGAGTGACTTATTCTTGATGAACTGACAAAATTTACATTAATATATTTAAGTTTCGTTTATGTTGACTCAAAAAAAGTCGAAACGTTCGAAAAAATGTCACTGATGTACAGTTTACTGAATAAATGGTAAAAATTCGTTAATATTTTGCGTATTGTGAACCGCATTGTACTCTCATATCAGCCCATTTCTTTAATTGTTAGTTATTGCTTTAAGAATTTTTATGATTTTAAGTTTAATAAGATAAACATTTGTGTTGCCTCTGCGCGACAAAATTTTTCAAACTTTATAATCAACTCTCGTGATTTTTTGGAATATATGGATTTAAAAAATTCTTTGAATATGGCAAAAAAAATGAAATAGAATGCGTGGATTATTATTTCTATTCTTATTATTTATTATTATTTCCATTTCATTAAGAATATGTACAAAATATACGTACTTGCAGAAAGTGTAAAATATTGGGTTGAAGAAGAAGTTGGAACGTCGAGTGGTTCGCCGCTCAGTGTGATTGACTCGCGATCTGTAGATCCGGGTTCGATTCCACCTGCGTCCATATACGCGATTTTTTGCGCTAAGAGCCGAAAATGGCTCCACCTGGTGATTAAAAGAAGTCAACCAGCGCCGTAAGAATTCGGCGTTAATTAAACTGTGGGTGTGTTCCCATTTGCTGATTTCCAGTATACTGTATAGTATCCAGTAACTGCCATATTGTATTACTGGGAGAAGCGTTTCCTTTCTCTAGTAAAAAGATCCAGTAAAATCATAACCTAAATTCGTACGTGCTTCAGAGAATCGTTTTCTCGGGCGTTTAATAAACACACCCTGTATAAAGTCCAAATTACTGAATTTGAGAATGGATAAAAATCATCTACTATTCGAAGAAATAATTAGTAGTTGATTACACCTACGATTATTTAAGATAGTTTTAAAATAAAAACAGACTATAAATATCGTCCCATGTTTAGAGTTTCACAGTTGACCAAGGCTTTTCCTCTGACGCGACGTTCATAGACAGAGATGGCGGATATTTAGAGAAAAAAGATGCTTAGAAACTAGCTAAGGACACCATGGTTCCGATGCTCCGAACGGCAGGCAGCGCCGAAAGCTAGTAGAGACACGCTAACAACACGTGCACGCACATGATGTGCTTATAGTTTATAAGCATCTTTCTTTGAATATCGGCCGTCTATGTCTATGAATGTTGTGTCAAAGGAAAAGCCTGCCAACTGTGAAACGCTAATGGAGTGATATTCATAGTCCGTTTTTATTTTAAAACTGTCTTAAATAATGTTTTAAGATGCTAATACAGACCTCTGCTACACGGCACGCTTAATCGGGTTTAATAACATCCGTAGTTATGAAATTGGCCAATCATAGCTTTTCGTCGGGAGAATGGAATGATTGTGATTGGCCAGTTTCATAACTACGGATGTTATTAAACTCGATTAAGGGTGCCGTGTAAATGTAGTCACAGTCTTCGGATTGACTTATGACATCTTAAGGCCCGTCTACAATACACGGAGTAAGAAGTAAGAGTAAGAAATTGACCAATCACAGTCG